CCCTCCCTCTCCTTCCTTCCCCCACCTTCCTCCTTTCTCCACTCCCTCTCCTCCTCCTCCTCCTCCTCCTCCTCCTCCTCCTCCTCTCCCCCTCCCCTCCTCCCTCCTTCCCCCACCCCCTTCCTCCTTTCTCCACCTCCCCTCTACTCCCTTCTCCTCCTCTCCTCCTCCTTCTTCCATGGTACGTGGCCTCCATAAAGTGCGACCTTTCTGGCAAAAATATTATGGGGGTTTAGAAGCGATGGCGACAGACATGAGGATGGATCTGATCCGAGCATTTATTTCACGTCCTCTGCCTCGTCGTCTTCGTCTTCGTCGTCTCCTTCTCTTTTCTTCTTCTTTGTCGTCGTCTGCGTCTCTTCTTCGTCTTCTTCTCCTTCTACTTCTACTTCTACTTCTCTTCTTCTCTTCCCTCTTTCTCCACCTCTTTCCTCTCCTCCCTCCTCTTTCTTCTATTCCTCTTCTTTCGTCTTCTCCTTTCCTCCTCCTCTTTCGTCTTCTCCTCTTCTCCTCTTTCTCCTTTTTACTCCTCCTCTTTTCGTCTTCTCCTCTTCTCCTCCTCCTCTTTTCTCCTTCCTCTCTTTCCTCCTCTTTTCCTTCTCTTCCTCTCCTCTTCTCCTCCTTTCTTCTTCTTCCTCCTCCTCCTTGCACTCCTGGTAGCACAGTTATTATCTCTATGCGTATGTTTTCGTCCATTTACTCTCATTCCCAGCGGACTCCTCTCAGCGCGCGTCTTAGGCCTAATGACCCTTGTCTTTTATTAAAGTCACGGGGCCTTAAAATCACCATCAAATCAGAGACCATTATGCCATTAAACACTCCTATTGGTTAATGCGGTTAGTGACGTCATTGCCTCGGTGCGCCGTGATTGGCTGGCTTCAGGACGGGGGATTACGAGTGGAAAGGAAATCGTTTTAGTTTTAGTTTTATGGTTTTGCGGAGTTGGGTTTTTTGTTTTATATGTTTCTTTATGGTTTTTAAGATTTGTACTTGTATGTAATTGATGATGATTTGATGATAATTAGATTATGAAGTTTGTTATAGATTGATGACAAATTTGAGAGCAGTTAATTTTTTTATTTGATTATAAGTTGTATTTCCTGTTATAACTCATAATAACAACGATGCATTGATTGTAATGTTAAGATAACTATGGTTTAAGTGATTAAAAAATGTTAATGTTTTTTTTCTGTTTCTTTGCAGGTACGTATACAAACCTCTGCTGGTCGGTGTGTTTGTTTGTTTGTCGTTTCTTCTGGATTGCAAGTCGAGGTAAGGGAGGTGTTTTCTCTGTCGTTGTTATTTCGATATGGAAGGATGTTATTTTCTTTCTTGTGTCGATCGCGGGTTTACGTTTTCTTTGAGGGTTGAAGGTCGTTGTTCATTTTATTTTTTGTGTTGGTGGATTTTTTTTTTATCTCGGTATATAATCGTATTTCGCGAGACTTGTCCTTATTTGTATTGTTCTTTTGTTTTTTCTTCTTATTTCTCCTATTTTGCATGTTGCTTTGTCGTTCTTTCCTTCCACTTCTTCCTTTTCCGTTCTTCTCCTTTTATCCGCTCTTTCGTGCTCACTCTCTCTTTCTTCCTCTCTCTTTCTTCTCTCTCTCCCCTCCCTCCCTCCCTCCTCGCCCTCTCCCTTCGCCCTCTCCCTTCTCTCTCATCCTCTCCTCCCTCCCTCCCTCCCTATCTATCTTTCGCCCTCCCTCCCTTCCCCTCTTTGCCTGTCTGTTTTCCCTCTTCCTCTCGTTTTTCTCTCTCTCCCCCTCTCCGCCCTTCATAATCGTTTACTCTTTCGCCCCATCTGTCCGCCTCACCGAAAACGTGCGAGGCGGTTGTATACTGTTTACCTGGTTTGTTTACATTGCGTGCGCGTACCTGGCCGCACCGGCTGTTGCTGCTCTTCATCAGCTTTGCCGGTACTGGTTCTTTGCTGCCACATCCCACACCCACCACTCCCGCCCACTCCTGACAACGCCCACTCCCACCCCCCTCTCTCGCTCCCTTTCTCCCTCTCTCGCCCCTTCCTCCTCTCTGGCCCCTTCTTCACTCCTCGCCCCCCTCCCTACCCTCGTCCTCCCTCCTCGCCCTTCTTCCCTCTCTCGCCCCCTTCTCTCCTCGCCCCTTTCCTTCCCTCCATCCATCCATCTATCCGGTCTGTGAGAGACGAGGGTTTAGGGTAGGTACCCTCCATGTGTACCTCCCCTTTCTCCTCTCCCCTCTCCCTCTCTCCTCTCTCCTCTCTCTTCTCCCCACTTGTTGCGAAGGGGAAGGGAGAGGGAAGGAAGGGTACTAGGGGAGTAGGGGATGGGGGGGGGGACTGGAGCTTACAGAACGTATTGTGCTGGGGAACGTTGTGCCGTGTGACGTCACAGTTGTTTATAAACATTACCACGTGGTGACAGGAAGCGGCAGGAAGAGGAAGCCTATGTACTCTCTCTCCCCTCTCTTTATTTCTTGTTGCTCATTCCCTTTTTCGCCCCAACTCTCTCTCTCTCTGTGTCTCTATCTATCTATCTGCATGTGTGTGTGTGTGTGTGTGTGTTTTCCCTCCTCTTTTCTGCGCATCCCCCTTCCAACCCTCACTTCCTCCACCTCGCTCCACTCCCCTCTCCCTCCCTTCCCCTTTTCCCAGTCTCGTTGCGTTTCTCTCCCTCTCTTAATTTTCCTCTCCCGCTCCGTCCTTCTTTCCCTCCCTTTCTCTGTCATGTATCGGTGTGTGTTGCCGATTGCCTGGAGGGCGTCTGAAAGGCCCGTGATGGCTGTGTTATTGCAATGACTCAGGCCATTGAGCGTGTCAAGAGGCTCGGCTGGCGGGCGGCTATCAGCTGTCCCGCCTCAGCTGACGACGACCCAGCCAGCGAACTAGAACAGCGAGCGAAGGAACGAATTAGTTCATGTGCAGGCGCGCGCGCGCGCGCGCACACACACACACACACACACACACACACACACACACAACACACACACACACACACACACACACACACACACACACACACACACACACACACACACACACACATTTAATGCCTTATGGGGAGCGGTGATGCCTAAAAGTTTTTGATGTTTGTCGACGCCCGTTTGGCCTTACCGACTCACCTGCCACGCCCGTCACGGGCTGAGGGGCGCCCTTTGCGGCACAGCGCTTCTCGCCCTTCCTCACAGATATGTATATTTGTATTTAAGTATTTATGTATGCATTAGGTGTGTGTTTGTAAGCACACTTCTTTCAGATTGACTTTATTTATATCCTCCCTTCTCCCTTCTCGCATCATCGCCACGCGCCTTTATTACCCCCTCCCCCCCCCTCCCCCGGCGGCCGGCGTGCCAGCGTGCACAGCGCCATTCCGCAAGCCCGGGATGCCCAGTGGGGCGGCGCTGGGAGCACACGCGACGGTCACGGGTGCAAGGGTGGTTGGGCGGCGGCGGTGGGCGGCGGCGGGAAGCGCGGCCTCGTGCTTGCTCTCGGTGCCAAGGCGGTGGGAGATTGATGGGGTCGCGGGCATGGCATCGGTTGATATAATTGGACGGGTGATTGGGTTGCTTGGGGGGGGGGGTATTGTCAGGGGAAAAGAGGGGGGAGGCACGAATCTGGGATGAAGGGGGGTGAGAGAGAGAGAGAGAGAGAGAGAGAGAGAGAGAGAGAGAGAGAGAGAGAGAGAGAGAGAGAGAGAGAGAGAGAGAGAGAGAGAGAGAGAGAGAGAGAGATGATGGGATGGGCAGCGGTGCAGATGGCATCGGCTCGGAGATAGTTATAGATGGAGGCTGATGGCACTGTGCCAACCAAAGGCCTCTGGTGGTTATGAGGGAGGGAGGAAGGAAGGGCAGGCGGGCGGGCAGGGGCTGGGGAGGGACGGGGGAAGGCCGTATTAACGATCTAACCTACCTGTGGATGCCTCAGTGCAGCGGGGCGCTCTCAGGTAGGCGTGGGTGAGGGGAGTCTGACTGAGGGAGAGGGGAAGGGTGCCTTCAGGAGGCAGAAGGGGGCACAGGGCAGTCGTTCAGAGGGCATAGGGTAGGTGGAAGTGGAAGGTGGTGCATGCCGCTTTTGAGGTTGTCTGCGAGAAAGCACGGGTCGGGCGGGCGGGGAAGGGGAGGGCGCGGGGCACGCTAGGGCACGGGTATGGGAGGGTACAAGAGGGTGGAGTGCAAGGGGCGCGTGATCAGTTACTCGACCACCTTCGCCGCTCTCGCTAGTCCTCTCCCTCTACTCTTTCACTCTCTCGCTTCTCCCGTCCATTCGCTCCTTCGGCCTCCCATCCACGACCCTCTCCTTCCCGACCTCCCGCCCATCCGCCCACCCGCCCAGCCACCCACCTCGGCCGCACTCGACCGTCGTGGGCCGCCTAGCCTCGCCGCCCGCGGCCGGAGCACCGCACGCCCTGGAAACCACGACGAGGGTTTACATTGAAGCGAGAGGGACGTCGCGGCCCTCGCAGCGCCTTCAGGGCAGTGCCCGGCCCGCGCCCTCGACGCGCTGGCCCAGTTGAAGCGACCGCGCCCATTCCGCCGCAGGCCGTGCCACAGCGGGCGTCGCCTCGAAGCTCAGGAGACCGCCGCCGCAGCGATCGCCGCCGCACGCCTTCTGCCCCGCGCCCAGGGAAGCGCTAGGAGCCAGAGGCGCCGAAAGCCTCCGTGTTTTCCGTTCCGCCTGGAGCCGGAGTGCCACGGACGCCGCCGGAGCCCGGGCACGGCAGGATACCTCGCCGACGGCCGCCCTGGGAGTGCATTCCCGCAGTGCCAACGGCGGAGTGCCGTGGGAGTGCAGTGACGAGCAGGCCCAGAGTGTGAGTGAGCCCGACTGTGCTGTGCCCCGCAGCGCCTGCGGGTGAATTGCCCGCCGCAGAGTGCCTCGCAGTGCCAAGCGGTCAGACACTCACACCTGCAAAACCCGAAGAGCGAGTCAGGGTTGGTGCGAGTTTGTAGCTGTTGTTTCTGTGCTGTTGTTGTCGTTGTCGCCGCCACCCCGTGTTGTCGTTGCGCGAGCGCGGGCGGGCATGAGTGAGCAGGTGGCCACAGGGGAGGGCGCGGGGGGGGCCTGGGGCGTCAACGCGGCTGCTTTGCACGGCGCCTGCACGCCCGCCCACCACCCGCTGTACACCGAGACCGCCCACGTGAACACGGGCGGCGTAACCTGCAACGCCGTGACCTACAGCGTGCCGCCGCCGCCCTTGTGTCCGCACGCGCCCTCGCCCGACGCGTACCCCGCCTGCGCCCTCTGCGCCGCACGCGACCACCCGCCGCCCACCCTCCACCACCACGGCCCGCCCGTCCCGCCCGCGAGCGCGGAGGAGGCGCGGACGCTCGCCCTGCAGCTGCGGGCGGCGGCCATTCTGAACAAAAGCGAGCTGGCTGTTCCCGTGGCCACCTTCCACCTCTCAGTGCCGCCCCCGCGCACGCCCACGGCCGCGCTGGCTCTCCCGCCGCCCGCTTTCCCCTATCCTCCGCCCACACCCACTAGCACGTCTTACGAGGACGCTGTAGGCGTGCACGCCGCGTGCGAGAGCGCCCCCTTCAGTGTCCACGGCGGCGGCCCCGGCTCGCCCCTCCTGCCCTTCCACCCGCCGCCCACCCCAACGCCCGCGCTCACGACCGCCTGCAGCACCAGCCCCCTGCCCGCCCCCGCCTCCCCCTGCCCCCTCTCTCCTCCACCTGTGCCTCCACCATGGCGCTCGCCTCCGCCACGGCCTCCACCAACTCCATCCCTGACGGCATCCTTGACGCGCCGTCTTCTTCCTCCTCAGGTCAGTCTTGTCTTGTGGCTCTGGACGGTCAAGGCACTCGACCCCCTCCCCAGGACCCCCACCACCCCACCACCACCTCACCGCCCATAACCCCTCCCCTCCTCCCTCCCCCTCCCCTCTCCCCTCTCCCTCTCCCCTCTCCCTCTCTCTCTTATATTGCAGCAGCGCCTTGTGGAAGAGGAAGAGGAAGAGGCCGATGTTAATTGGCCCGCAAGAGGGAGGGGAAAAGTGGTCGTCTTTTTTTTATCCTTATCTTCGTTTCTCTTTTACAAGATCTCTGATATTAGGTTTATTTTATGCTTCTTTGTATTTGTGCAGTTTGATTTTGTCACAGAAGGGAAAACGACCCCCTTCCTCTCCTTCTTTCTTTCATCCCCTCCCTCCTTCTTTCACCCCCCTCCCCTCCTTCTTTCACCCCCTCCCCTAGCTGTACTCTCCACCCACCCCTCCCTGCCCATGAAATAGTAACAGGATTCAACCGCAAAGTCACGCTCTTGTCATTGTTACATATGACTTTTTTTTTTTTTTTTTTTTTTTTAGCCATCACTGCCTTTTTTGTCACTGGGTTCCCTTGGGATACGTTGCCCGGGACTGTCCATTGACCCCTTTTGCTTTGCTCTTACCCTCTGATTCTCTCTCTCTCTCTCTCTCTCTCTCTCTCTCTCTCTCTCTCTCTCTCTCTCTCTCTCTCTCTCTCTCTCTCTCTCTCTCTCTCTCTCTCTCTCTCTCTCTCTCTCTCTGTTATTCATTGGGCGTGTGCACGTGTGTACGGTTTTGTATGTCTTGTTTTTGTGTGCTTGCGTATGTGCATGTGGTTGTGCTTGTATAGATGTATGTACATGCTTATGTACCTGTTTGCCCGCATTATGTGTCAGAGTATGTCTATATACGTATATGAGTGCCCTTGTATGTGTGTGTGTATGCACGTATATAAGTGTGTAAGCGAGTGAGTGAGAGGGTCGCACACGCCCGCCACTATGTATAGATAATTAGTTTTCAGGTGAGTGCAGCAGCGTGTGGAGAGGCAGGAAAGCCAGGCCGTGTTTCCGTGCCGGCGCCACGGTAGGTCATTGCTGCTGTGAGGCTGTGTTCGTGTGTCCCTGTTCACCCCCGCCCCCTCCCCCACCCACTCGTTGCTGTGTGGGGGATGTGGGGCAGTTTTTCCGCTTCCCACCCTCTCCTTTTTTTTAAGTGCGTTTGTGTGGTGTTTACCCACGTAGCAGCACCCTCGTTATTTTATAAGAGTTGAGGGCGGGTACACCAGTCCCCTCGCCCCCTCTCTGGATGCTGTGTTCTCCAGGGTCGCTGTGGCTGTGAACGCACCTCTCCTGCGTCTTGGTGTGCTGTGAGCATCCACGTCGTCTTTGGAACTATTGTTTTGATGTGGTTTGCATTAATTACGATAATAATGGACGTTTCTGTGAACTATGGGACGTGTTGGTGGTTATTCTTTTATTACTTTGGTTTTCATTTTTCTACCTCCTGGGACCTCTAAAGAAATTTCTTGTTTATTTGTTTAATATACCGTTTTAACATTTCTTTGTTTCTCTTGTATCTCAGGGGACTCTTTTGTTATTGATAAAAGTTTGTTGGTGTTTGGGTGTTTATTATTTTCGAATTTCGTTTGACAAAATTGCTGATGTGATGCATTATTTATTGTGCATATTCTTTTGTGTTTATATAATACTCACTGTTTGTAATGGGACACACGTCTTTTTTTTCTTTTCTTTTCTTTTCTTCCTTTTTATTTAGATACATGTTTATGGTAGTCTATTTCCATGGCTGATTCCTCGTGCCAGTGCCCCCTCATAGACGTCTTTTCTCTGGCAGTGTCCCCGAAAGGTGATTCGCCCTCTGACAGGGTTTTTGCATAGGCGTCTTCTCTCTGACATGTGCTCGCCTTAGTGCCTCTGCCCCCCCCTCCTCCTCTCTCTCGCTCTCTCGCTCTCCTCTCCCTCTCCCTCTCCCTCTCCCTCTCCCTCCTTCACCTTCCCACCTGGTCTCCCACCCTGCTCTGTCCTTCTCCCGCCCTCGGCCGTCCTCTGTCCCTCTCCATCGCCCTCCGGCCCTTCTTCCCTACCCGAGCCTTCCCCCTGTTCCTCTCACCACCCTCCCGTCTTGGTAACCTAATCTCGGGAGGCCGGCCCTCGTCTACCTCTGTCCCTCTCATCCTCCCTTACCACGTCCTTCCGACCTTCCGGCAGATATCACTATGCCCATACGACTACACCTCCACAACTTCCGCACTATAATCGGCCTTCCTTCCTCTCTCCTGCTCCCTTGCCCCCGAGCCATCCTCTCCCTGTTTCCCTTTCCAACAATTAAACGCCGGCTGGCGTAGGCCATAGCCGGGACGCTCATCGTCACAAGCCTGCCCCCGGTTGCCTGGTGACCCTCTCTGAGACTGCCCGAACTCAGAAACTACCGGCTGTCTAGGTTGGCAACTCCCCTATCCACCCACTCTTGGGCGCGACTAACGGGTGGGAATGGCATGTTGTTTTTTTGTGTCTATTCTTCATTTCATTGATTGTATTTGTATTATTACTGTTTACCGTTTCTATTGGTAACTCATCTTTATTAATATTGCCGCTCAATCTATTACTTTTATCATCTTCGATCAATCCTCGTTGTTCTCCTACATATTTCCATTATATTATCCCATTATTGCTAACGATCATCTGTGTTCTCTCATATTATACTTCCATCCATTCACCTCATCATTTATCATTTATCAATTATTATAACCATCTTAGTATATATATTATTATCTCATTATCATTAAACATTAAGTAAATAATATTTACCACATGATTATTATTAATCACTATATGTTTTTATTACCTATCATGTTATCCTCGCCTCATTGCCTCGTTTCGTTGTTTAACTTGCAAGCTTTTTTTATCCTGTTGTTATTAGCCATAGTCTATTTATATTTCTCATCAATTACTCTATGATCATTACTCCCATCATTATCCCTTATTCTTATCATCATTATTTTTCATTATTTATCATCAAATCCATTAACATTACTCATCATTACATCATTATCAATTCATTTCCCTTATTATATTGGCAATTGTCGGTAATAACATGATTAGAATATATCATATTTTATATACCCGATATATTCGCGACTCTTAAGACAGATAGAAGACCACCCTCAGACTGTAATCTAAAATAGATAGAGTGTGTTGAAGGTGTCGCTTTTTGTATGTGTTGCGCCGCTTGTCCGTGCGTGCGTGTGTGCGTGCGTATGTTCATGTGTTCTGTCCGGCGTAGGTGACTAACCTTACATGACAACCCGATAGTATGCTAAGCGATGACAGAAATCCAGCCCTTAAACCCTACTCACGTAAGGCCCTCAAATGTGAGGTTTGGAGGTCATAAAGAATCCTTAACAAGTCCGAGGGGGGGGAGAAGGAAGAGAGGGACTGCAATGAAATTCACTGCATGATTTGATCCGTATCTTTAACAGAATTACTACTTGACAAACGCCGTCATACGTATTCACTTGCCTTTCTGCAAGTGTATGTATGTATTGCCGCCAGCCTTCTTCTGTTGTCTCCCCTCAGTTCTCTTCCTTCTTCTCCTCTTCTCTTCTTTCTCTCTCTTTTTTTTCTCTTTCTCTCTATCTCTCTCCCTATCCTCTAACCTCTATCTCCTCTTACCCTTCTCTCTTCCTAATATTCTATCCCTTACTCCCTAACCTTCTACCTTTCTCCTCCTATGTGCTTTGTCGTTGTGTGTCGCGTTTGCCGTGTGTGTGGTCGTCGGTGTGTGTGTGTTGTGTGTCTGTGCTTGTGTTGCTGTTCGTGTGCAGCTCTGTGTGTTGTGTGGTTGTTGTGCTGTGCCCGTGCCCGTGACCGTGAGCCGTGAAGCGTGTGCGTGTCTGCCGTGTCGTTGTGTGTGTGTGTGGTGGTGGGTGTGTGTGTGTGGTGTGGTGCTCGTGCTGTGTGCCTGTCCGGGTCTGATGAGGTGGGGCTGCGTGGGTGGTGTACGTGTGTGTGGCGGCTGGAGCCGGATGCGGGTGCGTTCGCGGTGTTGTGTTTGTGGGTCGTGTGGCATGCCGAAAATAAGTCATGAGCGCGGTGTAACCAGGATAGGGTTCAAAAGGAAGACTGTGAACCCACCCAATAGCTAGTCGTCGCCCATCTGACAATTTAATAGAGAAACCAGCAACCAAGGTTCCCTCGCTTTAATGCGAACCGCACGCTTGCCCTTGAGGTCGGACGCCAAGCCGAGCCCTCCGGCCCGCTGGGAGACTTTTTATGGGACTCAGCTCTCTCTATCGAATTACGGCGCACTCATGGTCTTAGAATACGGCAGAGTTATGGATTACATGTCAATACGGAAACGTGAAAGGGCAATGACACGAACCCCAGAGTCGCAATCTAAGACATGAAGATCCGGTGGGAAGTATCGCAATATACACCTCATAAACATTTAATATCTTTTCTATTTGTGTTACCTTTGCTCTTTTTCTTAGACTAAAACACTCAGTCAAGGTGGTTTTTTTTACCAATACGGGTTGCCCGGTCGTGTGTCTTGGGTATAAAAATACTTATTCATCAGTCTGCGGAGAAACAACCATGTTCTCCGTGCTTCAGAGTGAGGGAACCTCACCTCAGGAAACCGATCTTTCTCAGCTCCCTGGTCTTTTTCGCTTTTGCGTTTGCTCTCAAATATGACAAAAATAACGTTAAGAAGTCTTGTAATTTCTTTCTTATCTTTCTCTCTCTCATGTGGGGATCTTTCTTCTTTTCATCATCTCTGCAGGTCTTTCTTTTCGTCTGACCGAATAAACAGCCGAATCATTCTTTCTTCATTCTCTCGATCTTTCTCTCTCCGTCTCTTCTTTCTCCTCTCTCAAATCTTATCGTCTCCTCTCATTCTCATCGTTCTCTCATCGTCTCCTCTCCTCTCATCTCCTCTCTCTATAGTATAAATATAGATGAGTAATAATATATATTAGTAAATAATATAATAATATATAAATATATATATTAAAAAAGTGCACGTCTCTCCCTTCTCTTTTCCTCTGTGTTTTTTCCATGACTTTTGCCCAGGTCATACTTCTTCCTCACCCTGTGTCATTTTCTTTTTCTTTTCCTTTTCGTGTTATTTGTTCTTTAAGTGTACGGTTTTCCCCCTTATAATTTTTAATGGGTAGTTTTATTCTCTTAGTTTCTTTTCTCTTCTTCTTCCCCTCCCTTCCCTTCTCTTTCCATCCCCCTCTTCCCTTCCCTTCCTCTTTCATTCCCTTTCCTTCCCTTCCTCTTTCATTCCCCTTCCCTCCCTTCTCCTCCTTCCCCTCCTTCCCTCCCCTCCCTTCCCTTCCCTTCCTTTCCCTCCCTTCCCCTCCGCGCCTGCCGCAGCGTACGTGAGAGACCGCCCCCTCTCCTCCGCCCTCTGTGTCCCCAATACCTTCCATGTTGTCTTTGGATCCCCTCATATACACATTTTCGGAACCACTTCATCTCCCTCCTCTCGCTCCCCCCCTCTTCTTCTTCTTCTTTTCTTCTTCTTCTTCTTTCTTCTTCTTCTTCTTCTTCTTCTGCTTTTCTTCTTCTTCTTTTCTTCTTCTTCTTCTTCTTCTTCTTCTCTTCTTCTTTTCTTCTTCTTCTTCTTCTTTCTTGCTTCCTCCTCCTCCTCCTCCTCCCTCCTCCTCTCCTCCTCTCGCCTTCCCCTTCCTTCTTCTTCTCCTTTTCCTCGCCTCTCCCTTTTCTCCTCCTTCTCCTTTCCCTCCTCCAACTTCCTTTTCCAACTCCTCCTCCTCGCCTCTCCTCCTTCATCTCCTCCTCCTCCCCTCCTCCTCCCTCCTCCTCCTCCTCTCCTCATCCTCTCTCCTACTTCTCCACCCACGACCTCGCCTCTTCCCGCCTCTTCCCACCCTCACGCCCACTTTACCCACTCACGGTTCAGTTGCCATCTGTCAGTGTCTTCATATACCTTTTATGATGACCGCCCCGTTGTTTTTGAAGTGTCAGGAGCTTTTGCATTAGTCTGGAGAGCCGCAATTTTTTTTTCTCCGTGTGGCTTTGCATGCGATAAGACGCCACCTCTGCTTGTTCTCCCGGCTGCTGTGAAGGTATGGTGTCCCTGGCACTGTGCCTCGATGCTACACCTCGTATTGTGTCGCGGATGATGGGCAGTCGATGTGCAAGACGAGGCGTTCTTCAAACCAGCACTCCGCTTACGGCCAGACTAACGAACTAGTTTACCATAGTTGGTCTTGAAAGTGTTGCGACCCAGTTTTCTATTTTGAGCTGGAGTGTAATACAGAAAACGGACGCGGAAGATTGTAGGGGTGACTCGCCAAAGTTTTGGACTGACGTGTCTGCCCCTTTCA